CAGGAATGGAAACTAGCTGAAGTCTGAGTCTTATAAAACATCTAAAAAGAGCCTATGCTAAAAAAAATGTTGACAAAGATACTTTTGTTATTAGAAGTTTAATATTAACTTGGTATGGCTAGTTTTCATCTAATGCAGAATATACTAAAAAAGCCTACAGTAGAACTGCATAGCATGGAGTAGTCTTAGTTAGTGTAAGCTCTGGAAACAGAAAATTAGCTAGCACACACTAAGGAGAAGTATCATAAGTCTCCACATAAAATTCATCTAGAGACTCTGGATTTTACATGAGCATTGAAATCTGTTTGTTCCTGACTTGCATGCTGCTGAAAATATGACCCATTGTACCTGATCCTATTCCACCTAGTAGGTACCTACTTTGACTTAGATACATAAGTGAGATCCTATTATCCTATTCCACCCTTCTCAAGTCCCTGAAAAAAAAACACCTACTTTTGTGACATATCCCCCTCTCAGCTTGAGGACTATGTGATGAAAGGCAAAGAGTTGGAGGAAGATCCTTTTTATAACTGTTCTTCAGTACGTCAGACAGGGTAGAATAGGTTCATATCTGACTGCACAAGTCCACTAAGGTGCTGATTAGGTGGAATAGGTTTTAGCCATAATTTATAATATACCCTAAAGCAACATCAGTGGTGCTCCATCTCCAGCCTGGGGGTTGAATCCAGCACACAGAGCTATGTCATCTAGCTCACACATCCTGAAGTTTGGTGGTGACAGAGCTGTGGGCAGTGTTAATTAAGCTGTGACAATAAATGTTGTAACTGCTTCTTTGCCACCAAATTTCTAGTCCTCTGGAAAGCCCTGTGGGCTGAATGACATGGCCCCATGGTCTGGATTCAGTGTGCAGGCCAGGCCAGTGTGTATAGAACTACAGGCTAACCCCATGTACCAACCCTATACTAGATCTGGCCTGAAAGCTGACCCTGGCCATGGGCTCTGGCGCTGCACCAATCAGCCATGCCACATAGCTGAAAGGCTGCACAACACTGCCTTACATTAATGTATGGAAGACATTGCCCTGGGGAATTAAAAAAAAGGGGCTAAGAGGCTAAAATAAATGTATGTAAACCAAATATTTTGAAAACATGACAAAATATACCATTTTTACTCTTTTTGTTTCCTGAAGAATTGTTTCTTTTGCAAGCTGGTTCCGATATTCCCCATGTAACAAAGATTCGTGGCATGTTGTAGCCTATTAGCAGAAACAAACACCTGGTATGCACATCTGTATGTTATAGGGCTTGCATTGAAGAGGATTTTAGCAGATTCCTTTGTAGGGATATTTGATTTTTTTTTCCCTTTGGTTGAAAATCTGTTAGGAGTTTTTCCCATTGGCTAGTAAAGAAAAAAAAGCAAATCTGATATAAAATATGGCAATGAAGTAGCTCAAGATATAGTTCCATTTCCTACTGGAATAGCTCATTATTTTTCCCCCAGTCATTTTCTCTCTTCTTTTGAGTGAGAACATTTCTCCCTCTGGGGAAAGAATTATTTGTAATACTGAAAATAAGGAAACCTGATTTACAGTATGTTGTATGTGTACTTTATCAGTGACATTAAATAGCAGGTTCAATTTAGGCTTTTGACAGTGAAGTGGTTAATTTCCATTGCATCCTTTGTTTATAGCATTTCTTTGCTCTAACTTACAACAAAGAAACATTAAAGTTTTACTTTAGAATATGAGAAGAGTAGTTTTACTCATGACTGATCTTTCCAGCTACATGGAAAAGCAAAACAGAAGCAAGGGTCAAAAACTAAAGTAACTAGCATTGGGTGCTGTCTGATCCTCTTTTTACACAAAGAATAATTCTAGAAAAATGAAACTCACATCTTCCCAAGGAGAGGTTAGTTTTGATCCCAGGGGATGCTAGGGGATACCTGTCAAACATTTATTGGTGACATTTTTGCACAAACATGGTACTCTGCTCCTCAGTAAGACGGTTCTTTTAGTTAGCACAGCAAATTAGCACAAAGGGAATGAAAAAAGTATGACTATATCGGGGATTCTAGGGAAACATTCCCTTTGGAGTTAAATTCTGATCCTTTCAGAAAGAGACAAGGCACTGAATAAATTACTACCGCTATTGGGTCCCAAATATAGTGGCATCAAGTATATTAACTGAAAAATAATAATCATAAAACTGTTTTTAAATGAAACATGCAAATTTGGTTCTGCTTTGTACTTGGTATATTTTATCTGTAACATGGGCATGCAAGTGGTTTGAAGCCTGCATCATCCATCTTCTGCGACCTGCCATGTTACACACATTGTTAACTTCAAAACCTCACTCTACGCTATACAGTACCTTGTGGACGTATTCAGTAAAAACGTCTTTAAAAATCAAATCCTTCTGTGTTTATATGAGCAATTTAATTAACATGCAGACATGAATTTCTGATTCAGAAAGGGGAAATAGGAATGGGAGAAGAGGGAAGGGGAAGGGAAGGGATCCTAGCTTCTAAATTCTGATTTTTGCATATTTTTATGTGTTTTGCTGTGCATCTGCTCTCTCTTCATATTCTAATAGACCAACTTCTTCATTTTATTTTTTTGTGTTCAAAACAGTTTTGCCCTATGAGAAATATTTGTTGGCCTCATTAACTGAAAGATAATCTTAGTTCTCATCTTGATGTGCAAAGAAGGAAATTACTGCATCACAAGACAGGAGTGTAAACAGTATTTAAATACAGGCATGTGCAAGTAGCCCCATACACACACATATCATATATGCATTCAGGGGTGATATCCAGTTCAGGTGAAAAATTATAGAGCCATGTAATGGATCATACATATTTTACTTTGTCACCTGCCATTTACGGCTTAATCTATTGTCTGGGAATGAGATATTTCTCCTTCTGTCTCTGAAAATGTTGCATTTTCTCAAAATCCCACAAAATTATTCCTACCTTAGATTCAGAACAGACAAAATTCAGTCATAGGCCTGTAAAATCTTTTGCATAAGTAATGACTAAATATATATGTCGACAAGAACTTTATGCATTGGATAAAAGGCATCCAACTTGCAGTGCTATATACAGCATTAGTTGTATATCAAGCCTTAAAACTGCATCCTTTTTATGCTTAGAGAATAAGTCATTTTCAAGTGTTTGACATTATATTGATGAGTTTTTCTTTCTCTCTAAGCCCTCCATATTTATCCTGCTTCAAAGATGTGTATAACTAACACACCCATGTCCTTGCTTGCTTCACAAGAGCCTTTGATTCCTCAGAATTTATTCTTATACTTCCTTGCAATCAACTTGCCTTCTTCTCCAACTAAGGTCTGTGGAGAGCACAACAAAGGAGTTAGGGTGCATACAGATGTTTGGTAAGGTTAGAGGGAGGTTAGGTCATATTAAAAAATGACTACCTGATCTAACTTAGTTCAGCTAGGTGTGGACCTCACACTTAGATCCTTAGTTAGGTCCATCTAACTTCAAACTGTACAGAAGTTCAGGACAGCTACAGCTGTTTAAAAATAGCTGACCTAATCTAAGTTAACCCTACCTCCAAGATACACCTAACTTAGATCAGGCTGGCCATTTTTAGCCTGATCTAACCGCCCCAAATTTCTGTACAGGTCCCAGTGCAGCCCCAGGACTGGAAAACCCCACCCACTGGCCCCAGCTCAGGGTCTGAGCTTTTCCTACCCTCTCCTCCTGGCACCAGGCTATTTTCAACACCCCCCTGCCAAAACTCCTTGTTCCACCCCTGGATGGACAACTCCCACCTCCTGTTCATCACATGACATCCTGATTCCACACCTCAGTGCCTGTTTACCCCCCTCAGTTCCCCCAACCCCTCTCCTAGCCTTCCACATCGCAATTTACCTTAGATTGGGTGGCTATTTTTAACTCAATCTAACCTATCCCTAACCTCACTGAATATCAGTACACTGCCTTAGAGCAAACATATGGGTGAAAGTTTTTGACCAAAAATTGAAACAAAACCAAGCACTGAACATATTTTCCTTTTTTTTTTTCTTTCATAATGGAAGTAGTTCTTGACTCTTCAATCACCTAACTTTGGAATTGGCCAAAAGTATTGGTCTGAGCAACTAATTTAATCCTCACATGCCTTTTTTTAAAAATTATAAAACTGCCTGGTATATTATCCAAATGTGTGTATGCATGTATGAATATAAAGTTCCTAGTTTATGATCACCAGCTAGAAGAACCCAAAGAAATGAGAAATAAAGGGTGACATTTGAAGAAGGAAGATTTTCAATGTTTTCTTAACAGAAGTTAGAGAACAGTTTTCTTAAAAGTCCATTGAAATGTAGCTATTCTATCTGTGAATTCTTCCAATACCAAATTTGGAGATTCATTCAATTAAATTATAATATATGGATTTAAATTCTGCTTAAAGTAGAATAGTAAGGGTGCAGACAGAAGTGACAATTTTAGCCTGATCTGGTCACAGAAAGCAGCCCATACCTGTGACCAAACACAAGTGCACAGCTGCAGACAGCTTTAACAATGGCCGTTCAGGTGAAAATCTGACCCTTCATTGCATGATCTATCAGATAAAGACATTAAAAAATGTAGCATCTTTTGTAACTTGTGTCTGTGGAGCTCCCAGCCTGTTGCTATTTTCAGAATGGGAAGAGGGAAAGGGAGCTGAAGGAGTTCAGTCTGCATTTTTTTCAGCCCCCCTGCAGGGTGGGGTGGGTGTATTGGAGCTCCCCTGAGGTGGGAGGGCTCCAGGTCACCCACCCCACCCTTCAAGACCAGCTGGGGATCCCAAGAATGAACTCCGTTCACTGCCTTTCCCCCCTCCCAATCTGGAAACAGCGAGCACTGGCAGAGAGCTATGGCAATTGCTACACATGCCTGGCTGCAGTCTCCCAGCCAGCAGCTAGATTCCCTTCCCCTGGAACCAACAGTGAACTTGTGTTTGGTCTGGGCTAAAGCTGTAACTC